TCTCCTGCCTTTTCTTGGCAGAGAAACCCCAGCTGGACTGGAGGAAGATGCATGCTCCTCGTTTTCGCTCCATGATACAGCGTAGACTGACTCTCTGATGTGCGCACTTGAAAAAAAAAAACACACACCTGCCCCTGTGCATACAAAGTTTAATGTTTTGTCTTCCTGCCAGATTTTTGAATAACCATTTCGCTTGGGGAAAGAGCATGGAGTAATGAGTTGATCTTTTTCTGACAGGTAAGATCATGGTGTAAATGACGCCGGTGGATAGCAGAATAAAAACGGAAGAGAGAATGAACCAGCTAATCCAGAATGAGATTAGGAAAGATCAGTGTGTCCAGCACAAATCTGCAAACAAGCAGTCTAGTTTCCTCTCTGGGTTAACAGAGAATATTGCTGTCCCTCAGCAGCTGCATCTCCTTACTGTGTTAGGCAATGCAGTCCAAGCTGCCTAGCAAGCTTTCTGGATGCCACTGCAGGGCCTTTCTCTTCCGGTGATGAATTTAAATAATTCCCTTTAGTAAGAGCTGTTGTGATCTCGGTGCTGTAAGAGGTGGGTCCTTTCTTCAGCCTCTGCCTGTGTCTGAATTGCCTGGTCTGTGCTCTGGAGAAGAGCACATAAGGAAAGATTGATTTCTCCTTTACCTGCTGACAGAACAGCAGCTTCAGGATGCAGGAAAGACACTCTGGCAGCACTCAGCTATCAAGTTTGCAGGGCTTCCTTTATAGAAGCCTTTCATCTCATTGCCCAAGCCACTCTGGGTTTAGATACCTGCAGGTGAGCCGTTCCCTTCAATGCTGATGCTCAGTGGAGCATGAGCAGGTTTCCTAAAGCCCCAGGTTAGGCTGCAAAGAAGAGAATGCCTCTTCCTTTGAAGGCCGTTTTTCTTTAGAGTCCATTAAATGCACAGACTGTAACGATGCCCGGGGGAAATCGCAGCACGGGCATTTCCTAACCATTGACCTTGAGCAGTGCTAGAGGCTTAGCTGTGCTTTATGTCCTGAGATCCAACAATGCGAGCTCTTTCTGGCGCTGCCAGTAGGGTAGCTCATGTTTACGGGTGAGGCAGATGACTGTCTCTGTAATTCAGCAGGCTTGCGCAGAGGTACCTGAGAGCAGAATTTGGCACGAAGGAAAAAAAAAATCTATGTATCTCTTATTTCTGGGGAGAAGGAGGGTAGAAAGGAAAAGGATGGTTGTGTTTGTTACTTTCTGCAGTGCAGAGGGGGGCTCTGGTTAAGTCATGCTGAGTCACAGCCAACCAGTCTTAATTCTGCATTAACTTAGCTGTTGTGCAAGAAGTGTTCGGGCTGAACTCTGCCCTTCTCTTACCAATACTCACATGAAACCCCTCCGCCACAGCCAAGAGTACCAAGCATGTACAGAAGCTTAAGAAAGCCCCAGCAGTATGGGTTGAGTGGAGAATGCCATCTCCAATGGCTTTAGTGATCCTACTGCAGTCAATAGCGCTCCCTCTCAAGATTTTCCGTAATGTCTCCTCCAGCTGCAGCTTCTGTAATGACATTTGCATCCGAATTTGTGAAAGAGCTCTGAATCATGGAGGTTTTGGTCTTCTGAAAAACTTGCAAAGTCTGCAAGCTGAACGGAGACACTGAAAGGAGATGGAAGGCATTTTTCACTGTAAGTTCAGTGTAAGCATTAGCTGTGGGCTTTATCCTGAGTTTTATTTGGAGCAATGTGATGCATACACCCAAGCGTAAACAACTTGGCCTCCCTTTTTGCCTTCTCTGGAGTGGATGAGATACAAATACTCTGGGTCCATCTCTCTGGGAGGTTCTGAATTAAGCATGGCCCCTTTGTGTTTGTGAGAATAACAGGGCCATCTCTGGAGCAGGACTCATCTGAGGACGCTTCTGTACTGCTCAGAAAGCATCTGTGCTG